GATTCGGCAATTTTTTTTCGAAAAGAGAGAGAGAGAGAGAAATATGACACGAACTTGGCTTAGTCGGGGTGGATTTTTCAGTTCCACCAAAGCGAAAAGGAACGAATAACGAGAGCGAGAACAGGCCAAACGATGTGTATCGTTATCAGGTTGGTTCGAGTGTTCTCTCGAAGCTTTTCTAATTTTCGTCTCGAGAGCGAGAGAAGGAGGAACGTGGTGAAAAATGGACGTTAGGCTACGCCACGCGAACGCGAGCCCATTAAGTCGTCGTCGTGGCTAAGTACACGTGTCAAGAGCGGTAAGAACTCGGCGCATCATCCGTGCGTCGTCGGGACGTCGTTGGGAATTGCTCCTCGGCTGGTTTACTCGCGTCGTTCCTCGACAAAAGGGAGGTCGGCCTCTGCCGAGCGTGTATCGGGCGCACGCACGCCACGCACCACGGCGGCCGCGTATTTAAGCACATAATTAAACGACGTTGCATCACGGATAAATGCAATAATCCTGGCGCGCATTGGCCGGTTTCCCAACGCATTCACGGAGAGCCACGCTTCGCGAATAATTGCTTTTGCTTCATTGTGCAATGCGATCGGCTCGTGTTCCGAGCTCCGTCGATCTCTCTCTCCCCCCCTCCCCGCCGCCATTGTCTTGGGATCGCGCTCGCACAACCGGCCGACCACCCTGTATACTTTTTTTTCCTTCTCCGAACCCGGCGTTTCTTCCCCTCTTTAGAGAACGATTCGACCTCCTCCTCATGCCACTGTTTTCGTCTCTCGATTCGGGTCTTCCTTCCTTCCTTCCACTGGCCAGCTATTTGAACGCACCTGCGACGAGCAGATGCGTGTCCTGGATCCTTCTCGCTGCGTCGAAAAAAACCAAAGACCAAAGTATCGCTTGCCTCCCCCCTCCCTCCCTCCCTCCCTCTTCCTTCCCTTGCTCGTCTCTCAGCTTTCACTCGGCTGTTGTTAGCAAACGATGCGACGGTTGAACGAGATCGGGAACAATCGTTTTCGTTCGGTTAGGCGTAGAAGATTTCCTCGGTGATGAGCGAGATCGTTCTCGAACTTGCGATTGTCGTCTGGTTTTATTATTTTCTCTGGATAAAACTGAGGGGGAGGAGGGAGGAGGACAACGGATATAAATTTTCGACGGTGTTTTATCGTGGACCGTGGAACTCGTGGTTCTTTTGTAGACTATTGCGAGTCCGAACAAATTGTCTACCACGCTGGCCTCGTTTTATCGTTAAATCGCAACGCTCGATACCTCGAGTCCGGCTAAAAGGATACGTTTGGTAATTCCGTTTTCAGAAAAGAGATAAACTCTTTCTCTTTCTCTCTCTCTGTCTTTTTTACCCGTCTTTTTGGCTCGTTCTCGTTCGATTCATTCGCCGAGACTACGTGGATAACCTTTTTTAATTGCGTACCGTTAACCGATCGGGAACATCTGTTGATCTGCTATCAACGTCGTCGATCTGCTACCTTTTTTAGATCTTCCGAGCCCATTGTTTATATGTTTCTTTATCATGTCATTTGCGAGGATATTGATTTAAAAAAAAATATCAATTAAAAAGTTACGAAGATTAATGTAAAATTTTAATTTTTAATGTAAGAAACACTGAGCTTGTTTTTTAGGGGGAAAAAATCTGTTCGTAAATATAAATAAGTACCTTGCATAATCTTGAAATGCTGAATATTTTTCTTGAATGAACTAGCAAATATGCCAACTGTTTAAGATAAAAAAAAAATATTTCTGGTTGGCTGTTGGAAATTATTCGCAATTAGTCGCTCTAACATTAAATTGATTAAAGGCAATCGTGGTTAAAGATTATTCGAATGATAAAATTCTTATTCGATTATTTCAATTTCGATTGTGCGGCGCGCGGAATATGAATCGGCAAAGATAAAAAAAAAGAATCATATACGTTCGGGTTAATTACCAACAGCATGCTCGGGTCTTATTAAAGTTTCATCGACCAATCGGGGGGGAGGAGGAAAAAAAAAAGAAAAAAACTCTCGACTCGGCGTAAAATTGAATCGCTGCCTTTCCGGTTCGTCGAATGAAAACGATTTCCTCCTGGGAATTTTCAACCGGAAGCCGCCACGGCTCTCCTCCCCCGATGATATCATCTCATCGCCGCAATTTGCACAACAAACACAAACGTTCTAAATAACACGGTAACCTGCACTCTCGCAAAAAATCCACCCTCCAGTTTCCTGTTCTCCTCTGTTTATCATCGTCGGATTCCTCGAATACGGTGCGAACGCAGTCGAGTCTCGTCGACGGGGTTAAGTTGCACGCGATCTCTCTGTAATTTGTAATCGATTTCGAACGGGGAGATGATCCGTGAAGCATCCTCGATCGCGACCCCCTTGTCTGATAATTACCGGCCGTTTAAATCTCGTTCCAATTAATCGTCGTTGTTGGCCGATCGAAAAATGAAATCGGCGGGGGAAATCGTTGGCCGATTTTCTCCGACGATTTCACCGGGAAAAAGTGCTGCTTGGCCCCTCACGGGCCGCTTATTACCAGAATGTGTGTCGGGCTTCGAAGTTTAATTCCGTCAGCGTGTATTTAGGCGATAAACGAGTTTACTGCCATTATAACCGACCGTGTCGTTAAACCGGCGAGAACCTGCAAGCGGTGGGCCACCCCCCCCTGTTTCCTCGTGGATTTTCCAAAAGCCGTAAATTTAATCCCACCGAATGTGCTCGCGCCGAGAATTAAACCTAACCTAAACCTGCGCCATAGTGCGCCTGAAATCAACCTTTTGCCTTTTACGTCGCCCTTTGTTTACCTTTTCTCCGAGCCCGTCTTCTTCGATTCTGGACGTGTTTATCGGCCGTAACCTTCTTCGTACGAAATTAGGGTAAAATATATATTTAGCTTCGT